CTCTGCAGTCATAGGTGGAATGACAGTTCATACTATATAAGCCATGTCAAACATCGGATTCTACTAAAACAATTTATTTGCTAACAACTAACAAATTGCCTTGATTGTACAAGAGAGATTTTGTGACAAGTGGACCACACTCTACCATCATTGGAATGTTCATCATTGGAAAAGTCTGTCAATATTAAAGTGAAGATTTTTTTTATCAAGAAAACCAGTCACCCTCTTCTGGGTCGATTATTCAATATTCCCCCGTACTGGTACCAAGACGAACTTCTGTCAGAAGAAAACTTGATTTATGACTTCCCCGATATTTTATTCAGGAAAACAACTATTATAAACATATTAACACCACCAGATACAAAAACGTAAATATTTCAGCAAATTTTGGATACATGTACATCGACATATTGTATTGGATAGAGAACGCAAAATAACCAAGCAAACAATTCTACGGATTGTCGGGCAATTCTATTTTAGTATCGAAGATCTTCAGTTCGTACTTTAACTAAACTTCGTAAATCTCTTGGACTGTTAATTTACAAATAAATGGCAGTTTTTAATAGAAAATGTTGCTGACACTTCGATTTATCTTGTCACATTATTGAACATTCCGACTCATTATCAAGGTTGCAAACATGTTCTGTGGCTGTTTTAAGGTGATGAAATTGTGTTTTAAAGACCGAAATTGTGTATTAAAGACCAAAACATTCTCCGTGCTCTATGTTTGATGCTAAAAAATCGAAAAAGTACTCAGTCATGCTAAGATGGTTTGTCTTTTTGTAAATTTTTAGCTCACCTAGTATCAGTCTCTGTCTGTCCATTGTCATATTTTTCAACTTCTGTTTTAGTCGATTTAAACCAAAATGTGTGAGCTGACTCAACTCGTTGCCGTTGGACCCCTGACAAATTCTACGAGCTTGCTTCTTGAGAAGCACCAATCAGATCGAAACTTTCATAAGTTGACAGAAGGTAAGCAGTTGACCTCACTGCACGTGTTACCGAATGTTTGTCACCGCAAAGGTTTAATGTGATTGATCGAGAGCTAAGAAAAAATAATCACGATTTGTAATTTCCCCAAAAGATGTCGCTGCAGTCATTTCGTAGAATATCGAATAAAATTTGTGAAGGATCCAACGGCAACGAGTTGACTCAGGACCCCTGACGCTGTGAGGATGCTTGTAAACGGGATTAAAATTTGTTTTCAGTATATCCCCTTCAAAGGGGAGACAGTTAAAGGCAGAGATTTTTTACCGGGTGATAAATTCAGGGAGGGGCTTATTTCGTACAGGTGTGATACCTGGAGGGCTAGCAGTCTACTTTCGGTCGTTGTCTCCCATCCGTATACACAGGAAGTGACTTAATACACAGTAGAATACCCAAGAAGTCAAACTGTGTTGGGATTTTGAGACGATTTTAAATTAGAAATAAAAAGTTGTAAATAAAGTTTAATCGCAATATTTAATTTGTAATAGATAGTTTTCGATCGACACGATTTTAGCAAGAGTTATTTCCCGTTGGTCGCCATATTGGAGGTATACAAGCCCGAATTTCTTCTTTATTCAACCAATTTAAACTTGTCATACTGGGCAATTGGGTGAAGATAACACAATTTTCTTATGAATTTATGTTAATACAAGCTTCCTTTATTTCGTAATTTTAGTTTTTGAAAAGATTTTTGGCCTTATATTTCTGCCATACGGGTTTAAAATTGGTTGCTCAAAGAGAAAAATTCGCTCGTTGGCCCTCCAATATGGCGGCCAACGGGAAATAACTCTTGCTAAATTCAGGTCTATCGAAAACTATCTATTGAATGTGTGTCAAAGCATCCCCACCCATTAAAAAATATTATTATTGAAAGTATTTGTTGAGCTTTGAAAAAAGTTATACCTAATTTTGATTTATTTTATCTTAATGAATATTATAATTATTTCAAATACTAAAGGTGTGTAAATATAAATATATTATCAAGCTAAAAATTCCATAGTAATACAGCTTCTCTATTGTTTATACCATGTGTGGTAAATATCAAAGGATCAAAAGTTAATTTGAATGTCATCACGAGTGCCAAACAAGGTGTACAGGGTATACACAGGGACTACTAAGTAGATGTGAATCAAGTTCTAGCACCCAATGATGTACCTTAATGTACTTGTTTGGCAGGGGTGCACAGACCAGGTATTTTTGAAGGCGGTGCGTAAAATCTCTGCCTTGAAGAAGAAATATGGAGATAACGCACAGTATTCAAGCTCAAAGTCCATTTAAACAATACAGATCGGGAGCAGAGCAAACACGGACCTCCAAAAACATCAGAGGTGGGTTCAGGTGCCATGGAGGAGTGAGCATCCCCTGCCGACCGGTAACACCCGCCGTGTGCTCCTTGTCATGATCAGGAAAAAACTGGAAAACCCGTAGACAATTCAGTGTGTAAATAATGTCCTGACAATTAGTTTGAAAAAAAAGTGAAAATAATGGCCTAAAAATAAGTATGAGAAACGTCGGTCAGCATTTAACGGGACGAAATAGTTTTAAACAATGGGTTGGGATTCTCTTTCAGATAATTACTGAGCCAAAAAAGACAAAACTTAGGCGAATGTTTCCCAATACATGGTATAAATGCAAATTCTATAATCATAATCTTCGGCTGACAAACTTTTACAATATATTATACGACTAATCTTGGCTCTGTTGTTTTCTATATATTCAATGTAAATTTTTGTCCTATTTTGGCACCAACCTAGACAACCTAGCCCCTGGGGGTGGACTCGATGGAGGTCATTTCAACAAATTTCAATCTTAACCACATGTGGTGAACGGTTAATATTAATGCTATTCTGGAAGAGATTTTTTTAATGATTTTTCCTTAATTATTTCTATATTAAACTTTGATCCCATATTGCGGCCCCCCTTTACCTCCAGTGGGTTATGATTTGAAGAAACTTTACCCAGCCTGGGGATGCTGCATACATTTATTTATACGACTAAATATGACCTTGTTGTTCTTGAAAAGTCACCATTTGGGGGGGGGGGGGGGAGGGAGGGGTTGTTGGGTTAAGATATACTAAAGAGAAATATATTAATACAGGGATTTAAAAAAAGATTCTTCAACAAATCAGCAGGGTTAAACAATTAAATATAAAAAATATAGAACCAAGCATTCCGATTCGAGTAAAATCAGATTCTCGGAGTCGGGGTGACTAGGTGAGCGTTGTAGTTTATGGGCCTCTTTTCTTTTTATGTCAGCATTAATATCAAATCAATGTGGAAAATTTCGTTATTGATTATTTGAGTAAAATTTATCTAATTCTAAAGAAAAATTGTACACTGTTTATCGAATAATAACAATTATCTATGAATGTGACTACTTGATGAATAATAAATATTTAATTGTATAATAAAATCTGCAATCAACCAAAATCACAGCCAATATCCATAATCGGATCACAAAACACCCCAAAATCACAGCCAATATCCATAATCGGATCACAAAACACCACACACTGTTTCCTGTTCTGGAATATGTTTTCAAAAGGAAAAAAATTTAAAACCTAGAATACACACCTATTTTTTAACACTGAGTAAAACACTTTCTCATTGAATAAAAAATCGACAAGTAAAAGTACATGTATGTATGTACAATGTTCACCTAGTCTAGTTAGTTATTCGTTTCTGTTCAAATTTCAAGATTGTGTTAACCTCTGTTTTCACGTTTTCTTGCATGCATATTAAGTACAAAATACCATTAATATTTGAATACATTTGAAGCATTCATAATAAACAGAAATTTCAGATCTAACCTTGATTATTGATTGTATGTTGTTTTACGATCCATTCGAGAATTTCTCACTCATATAGATACGTCACCTTATACCCTTTGAAGGGCTTCAAATTTTGATCTATACTCGACACTCGGAGCCATTGAGCAGTGAGAGACCGTTATCGTGTCAACGCCTTTCGTGACACGGGGGCTCGGTTTTTAAGGTCTCATCCGAAGGACCCGCAACTTTCACTTCAAAGTGCCGAGCGCTTGGCGAAGGAACAGTTGCTACCCACTTTTATCGACTTAAGTCAGTCGCAGATTCGAAATCACGACCTTCCGAACCTAAGCTTGACATATTTTGTACAAGAAATAGGAAAAAAGTTCATTTTCAATGGAGTTTGTCACACAACTTACAAACTCAATCATCCTTATTGTTTTATAAAGTAGGAAAAGAGATGAATACCGTAAGCTTTAGTAATGTTCTGTCTCCCCCAACAAGTTCAAATCATTCTTGATTTTAAAGGAATAATCAAGTCTTAATTAAGAGCTACAAATTCTTGTAATTCCTCTTCAGTGTTCAATTTCTACCATCAATAGCATCGCGTTTATTATAAAAGGCCTATGATTTTTACTGTGGCGCAGGGACAGTGGTCAGACGGGTTCGATCGCCTGTGGCCAGATAGCTCAGTTGGTAGAGCACCTGACTGGAGATTCAGGAGGCCCTGGTTCGAATCCCGGTCTGGTCTGTCGTTATTTTCTCCTTTTCTGTTACACTACCATTAAAATCAGACTGCTTATAATACAAGATTTTCTGCTTTGTACCAGAAATAGCAGACTGCTTAAAATACAAGATTTCCAGCTTTTTACCAGAAACAGCAGACTGCTTTTAAAGTCTTCTGTTTTAAATCTACCACCAATCTGCCAACAGCAGACTGCTTGTGATACCAGATTCTCTGCTCTGTTTCTACCAGACACAGCACAATATACTGTTCTTCATCAGAACATCTGCTTTGTTGAATACAATAAAATACAGTGAATATGTTTATAAAGCATCATACAGAGAAGTGATTTCATCCCCCGTAGTTTTCAAATGCATTAAACTTATCGAATATAACAAGATATGTTAGCGTACATCACTGACACTTCTATACAAGTGTGTTTTGTTGGATCCCGTTTTGTTGTACAGTATTGTTATCACAGGACTGGTCCTTAAGCTATAAACACAGAATTAAGAAAGACCAACACTTTACCATTTCATTTATTACCCATAATCAATAGAATAATTTAACACTGACAAGTGTTACATAAGCTTATATATATGCTATATGGGTACATCTGTAGGCCGTTTCTATAGAGATATTCAGTCCTGTGGCATTCTGGGATTTCCCTCTACAATACCCCACACTTTGCGATGGCCACACTCTTTAACGTTTTACCACTGCTTGATCCACATTTCTCTACCTCCCTCACAACATCCATTCCTTCTGTGACTTTACCAAATACAACATGTTTACCATCAAGCCTAAAAAATATTAACATGCTTTAATAAGTAACATTTTACATCCACTGAATATTATTTCCTTTATTTCTTAAGAAAACCATGGTTGCTTATCAGTAACGCCTCTAAGCTTAGGTGGCAGAGGATAGTTTTCTTTAATGCCAAACATGTGCCGAGGGGGTACACATATACATGCGATCCATAAAAACGTGTACATGGGGACAGTTTTCCAGGGGCTAATTAATTACACTTCATATGCCCATGGCTCACAAATTATGTCAACAAATTACATGTAATCTGCGTATTAGAGTGCACATGTACCAAAAATGCACCTGGGGACTCCCCAAATTTTGGCTTCTTTTTCCAAGATTTGGGCCTCATTCATACCCCGTACAACCCACCCCCAGGCCCGAGCGAGCAGGATAAAACACCCAGTAGTCTGTAAATCAATGCAAGCCCTAATAAACATTCACCAATTGATATGGGGTCATTCACCTTCCCTCTGAGATACACACCTTCGTCTAAGGCCTACTGCTTTTCAGCTGAATTTCCTCTGCAACTGACCACGTGTCTTAGTTTCGCATTTACAACTCTGTATATGATAAGAGTCATAGTGACACCTACATGTTGCACATCATTTTTTTCAGCAAGCACTCTGCTACACTGCAAATGTGTCCCATAATTATTCTAATCATTTTTCTACATAAAATATCACATCAAACAGGGGATATCTCAATTTTTTAAGAAATTTGACCGGGTCTTTAGTACGAAACTATCCCCTGCCACCTTTAACTTTCAAAGTTTGCTTTTCAATTAAAATAACTTTCCATATTTAGAAAGTGCAATCAATTCTGAGTAAAAATATACTAAATATGTCTTATTTCAATGAAAAATAAAAAAGTTAGAGGCAAATAAGTGACCCCACCAATTGTCGGTCAACCACCTTAACCCCATATTCTTTGTGTTACTTCAAAAATGACCAACTCCTACAATCCAAAAGAAACTATTTCTTATCAAAACAGTGTTAAATGGTAACTTTGATCAATTTCAAATGCAGCTACATATAAAAAACTCAATAAGAATTGCATGCCTTGATGAAATGTACTCACATGTAACACATACTCTCCTATTTTGGATGTTTTGAGAAATCCCATTTTACCTCTTAATTGCTTGAATTTATACATCTACAGCTTGTTTGCAAAAAGAAAATCTAATCTATTTTTCAGGATATTTATTGTAATATACAAAAACCCCTCTTGCATCAAAGGTTCAAGAAGAAGTGCCCTGGAAATTGCAGTTATCTACCCTACCCCTCCAACCATTACCTGATTCTATTGAAAATATACTGTGGAAATCTGATTTTCCTGACTGTCCTTTTTCTGAGTATATTTCATTCAATTTCAACATATCTGAATGATCAAATACATGCATTTGATTCCCCTGAATATTTAAAGAGATCATCCTGTCCTTACTTGGCATTTGTGAGTAAATTTCAGGTGCTTAGTAGAATCCAATAATTACATGAAAATGTACATATTTTTGATATTCTGTTCATTAAATATGTAAAAAGACCATCTGTTTTGTTCTAATTTAAAGAAAAATATATAATCTATATGAAAATAATAAAAAGTTTAAGTTCTATCACATTATAGAAGACAAATGAGGGGGAAAATGAAGGGGAGAGGGGTATTTTTTTTATGTAATCATCAATAGTAAAATGGGTCTAATTTGAAAAAAAATTAAAGCACAGCAATTCTTTGAATAAATGTGGTTCTGTGAACTGATATTTTTGCATACTGACTCATTCTTTTTTTCAAAATAACGATATTTAGTGAAATACATGTAAAAAAGAGTAAATTTATGTAATTTCAGTGATATCGCAATAATTAAGCCCCTTTAATTTTAATTAATACTAAGTAATTGCATCAAAATTTGATAAAATATATGTGACAGTGCCCAAACTATTATTTTTAAGCAGATAAATTTTTCTCAGAAAAAAATTGCCTTACTCTGTTAAGATTTGTTATGCTGATGCTTCAAACTCTTTGAAAATGTGAACTGGGAAAGGTTTACCCCCCTTGTGTTTAGGTCTCTCTACCTAAATGAATAAGAGTCAAATGAAAGAAATGTGGTGAGTTTTGAAAATGGCATACATCAATAAACTTATTTAGAGAAGAATTAGACTAAATTACATATTTCTGAAAATTGGTGTTTTCTTGAAGGTGGCAGAGGATAGTTTTCTTTAATGCCAAACATGTGCCGAGGGGGTACACATATACATGCGATCCATAAAAACATGTACATGGGGACAGTTTTCCAGGGGCTAATTAATTACACTTCATATGCCCATGGCTCACAAATTATGTCAACAAATTACATGTAATCTGCGTATTAGAGTGCACATGTACCAAAAATGCACCTGGGGACTCCCCAAATTTTGGCTTCTTTTTCCAAGATTTGGGCCTCATTCATACCCATACAACCCACCCCCAGGCCCGAGCGAGCAGGATAAAACACCCAGTAGTCTGTAAATCAATGCAAGCCCTAATAAACATTCACCAATTGATATGGGGTCATTCACCTTCCCTCTGAGATACACACCTTCGTCTAAGGCCTACTGCTTTTCAGCTGAATTTCCTCTGCAACTGACCACGTGTCTTAGTTTCGCATTTACAACTCTGTATATGATAAGCGTCATAGTGACACCTACATGTTGCACATCATTTTTTTCAGCAAGCACTCTGCTACACTGCAAATGTGTCCCATAATTATTCTAATCATTTTTCTACATAAAATATCACATCAAACAGGGGATATCTCAATTTTTTAAGAAATTTGACAGGGTCTTTAGTACGAAACTATCCCCTGCCACCTTATCAACTATATAGATTTTTTTTTAACGGTGGCTCTTCCATCAATGAAATATATAATGATACATGTACATATCACTAATTCGTCTCGCCCAATACAGATTTCCATTTCACACCCTGTTCGTAACTGACTGTAACTAATAATATAGATTTTTTGAACAGTGGCTCTTCCATCAATGAAATGTAACCTATCACTAATACAATATTTAACCTACACATACTTAAGATGATTATTTGTACAGACATAGCACGAAGTCTTGATCCAATTATCACTAGTAATACCTCCGCTCTGATGTGAATATACACTCGTGTGAACATACACAAGTTCAGATGCGACAGAAATTTGGTAGAGACCTATGGCATGCGAAAATGAAAAGTGTGCTAAAATTTCAAGCAACTGCCTTGAGGAGTTGCTGAGAAATTTGGTACGGACAGTTGCAGGATAAACAGAAGTTGATTAAGATGACCACTGAAATGTATCTGCCATTCTGTCAACTGAATGATAACTGAAAGATCATGGAAAAGTCACGGGAAAGGATATTAGTGATCATTCAGTGGGCATTCAGTTACCATTCTATCAATTGAATGGTTTAATTTCATCCTGTATAATGATCCTCTTTACAAAGTTATAGCCTGGACAAAAATTTTATACTTTTCTGTCAGTTACCTTGAAATTGCTGGAATGACCTTTGGTCAAGGTCAAGACAAACCCAAAGAACATTAGCAATCTTTGTACCAAATATGAGCTTCCAGTGATTCTGCATTACAAAGTATTAGCCCAGCTTATGCAGACAAAATTTTTATACTTTTCTGCCAGACCTTGAACTTGTTTGAATGACCTAGGGTTAAGGTCAAGATACACCACTGGATCATAAGGGGGTAAAATGATTGTTCAGAATGGATAGTGGGAATGAAAATTTCCTTACTTGAAACATTCATAGGATTAGAGTAATGCGTTGGATTAAGATACAGACAATTTATTGAATGATATTTTGGGACTGGTAAGGAAAATGCAGTTGATATGTGAGCCCTGATTTGAACCGAAAAACATAGGGGAAAAAAGCAGATGCTGAAGGTATATTAACTTCTAAATTGAGTATAACATAAGATTGCATGTGTAATGGATAGTTTTATAATGTAACCAGAAGTAGAACTTCAGTATACAATTAAAATGACATTTACAAACTCAGCTTATAGCAGTAAACTAATGATTATTATAAGACCAGGGAACATTAACTGGCAAGATCCCCCCCCCCCCCTTCCCCGTTTTTGCCTGTTAAACATTTTTCAGTGAAGAAAATAATAAATATCTCTTGCCATCCTATAAATAAATATATTGTGTTATGTGAAATCATGAACATAAATAAATTTGCCAGCCCCCCCCCCCCCCCCCCCAAATCAAGAATCAAATGGCAGTCCCTGAAAGAATACAACTATTGTGTCCTTAAAAATATTGGATAGAAAATTCTGATGTACATTTATTTCAAAGTACATATATTTGGGAGTTAAAATTATTTTTCTTTTGGATCATACATTACCACTCTGCGTATGAAAATAGCTCTCGTGGATTGAAAATGAATTTTGAACCAGAATTTTAATCCAGTGTTTTCTTGGATGTTTGTGTTTAATTGTATCTGCCCATTTCATTGTCTATCATAAAATGTTTTGACTGTAACAGATGGAAATGACGTACATAAGCTGCATATTTCCAATCTTGTCAGCTAATGTTCAGCAGTTTTAAAGGATTTTTTTAGCTTTTAATTCTAAATAAAATCATTGTTTAAAGTTTAATAATTGTATCTGGGGGCTCATGTTTGAATCCAAATCTGTTCAGTGGCATTTTCTCCCTACCTGTTACAGTATTTACAACATATATGGTTTAATTGGAAGTTTAAATTTTCATTTTCAAGTTCTGAATGATATAACCATTGTAGATATAAAATAAACTTTGCTGTGTGCTAAATCACTTTTTTAATTTCTTTTGTTCAGTAACGGTCCAATTTTGAAGGATATCAGTAGTGAGACAGTCTGATATTACAATTAATATCAGATTGCTCACTAATATCGGACTGCCAAAGGTAAACTTTTAGACTGCAAGAACAAAGTACTGACATCACAGTAATGTTTTAAATTGAAAAGAACATCTTCTATAAACAAACACAACATACCAAGGAGTATCAGCTGTGCAGATGAAGAACTGGGAACCATTTGTATTCTTTCCACTGTTTGCCATTGATAATGTCCCTGTTGAAGAAATATAAACAAATGTTAATTTAACACAATAATGAAGAAAATACAGCTAGTTTTTAGGACTTGTTGAAGGTAGGTGAGTGTGTGTTTCCATTTTAACTTTGAGGTAAATGTTTCAGTATAAAATAACTACAGCCTTCATTTACTTCAAACAGACAGTTTGACAGAGACAACACTGAATTCAATGACATTGTAAAATATACAGAAAAATTTTATTTTCAGAAAAAGGCAAAACCAAGTTTGTTGAAATTGAACAGAGAATCATGTTCTTCAATGTTAATTCACTAGACAGAATGAACTGATGTTTTTTTTTTTTTTTTTTTTTTTGGGGGGGGGGGGGGGGGCTTTTATTTTGCTGTTGTGTTATTTTTTTAAATCAGCTCATCAAATTTTTATTTTGTTATTTGGCAGTTTCTTTTCAACCATCTGAAAGCAGTTAAGAAAGCTAGTTGAAAGCAGTAAGCTGTTCTTCAACTGTTCTCATTTCATACTGATAATAGTTTCTTGAACAAAACATATATCCCCTCCCCACCAATATTGCAATGGCCTTATTGAAAGAGATCAACTTTAAATTTAGAATGAAAAATATGGGTTCTCTTCTAGTCAGCAATTACATACTAAGTTTGACCTCTATTATGACCTTCAACAACATGACAGTTGTGTATCAACATTGTTCAGATATGCTGTCTTGCGAAATACTGTACTAACTTTGTGTGTACTTGCTTACTCTGTTTCCACTCCAATAATGCAGTTGAGATCAGTTCAGGGTGACATACGCTATTGTTTGCAATAGCAAAAATTCTAGTTCTTATCTAGGATCAGTGTAATTTTCACTGGGATATGTTCAAATTTGAAAATTTGGAATTTTTCGTAAATTTTGCAAATTCTATCCAATTTCTTTTTAAAAGTTGACTGTCATATATCTCTATCCTAAGTTTAAGCATCAGTGTTTCATAAACACATCTTGTTTTTGAAGATTTTATCCATGGATTTAAGAAATATTGACCAAAAAAGAAAAACCATTTTCATAAATAATTTTTCTTTTAAAAAATATAAAATGTCTCTATCTGACTATTCTTGGCAAGTTTTATTAAATATTTATATTATGAAATTTCAAGCTCCAAGGTGTCTTATTTTTAAACAAAACCTTTTCATTTTCTCTGAAAAAATTACAAAAAAAAAAAAAAAAAAAAGAAATCACACAAAATAATCAAAGCTTATACTGCCTTTCAAAAGAGATACTTTAAACATTCATCAAATAAAATTTAAAAAAGTGCATATATATTTATATATATATAAATATAAATATATATAAATAAATATAAATGCAACTGCACTATACTGTGTACTTGTACCTTTCAAGCATACCGGTATTTATCAAACAGCAATATTTACAATGGTATTATGTATAATATCACTGGATTTTCTTCTGAAAAATTGAGCTCCAAAGTTAAAACAATCCTCTTGGCAGAGGAAAACAAAAGTACCACCAGTGTACTACAATTACATAGTACATCCATTCCTCTGGCCCCAGACATCTAGTTCAATGAAATTTCAAAGTTTTTAGGGCAAAAACTCCATCAATAAATCATAATTCATTTAGAAAACGATTTTAAAAAAATAGAAATAATCAAAGTAACTTTGACAAGCCCATGATGACTATTGATAAAACATCATATTTTTGCACACCAACATCAAAAGATTCATAGATGAATTTTAAATTTTAAAGTTCAAAATCATTATCTCACCATAGTAAAAGTTGATATTACAAAACAGTTCAGTTTGACCTTTCATGCAACAGATAAGGTTTTGAGACAACCAAGTTTTGCTGAAGGCTAAACTAATTGAATCCAAATGACTCATTCTACATTCCTCAAATATTTCTGAACTTCTGAGATTGCATGTCAGAGAGAGAGAGAGAGAGAGAGAGAGAGAGAGATGCAAAAAGTATTCATCAAAAATGGCAGCATCATAATTTACACTTGAAGATGAAATTAAAAAAGAAAGTGACCTTGTCCTCGTATTATCACATCACAGGAAGTTGATTTGTATAAATTTAGAAAATTTAGTTACACTATGTACATGACAATATTTTCCTCTGCTGTTTACTAAATTAAAAAATATAGCAAAACTAACAAGAGGCCCATGGTCCACATCGCTTACCTGAGCACTCTGGCTAGGAAAAGCAGAAATCAGTTCAGTATATATTGACAAGTTTAAATATACAAGTAGTCAAAACTTATTAAAGGGGGGAGGATGATTTTTCAAACTTGAACCTACACTAACTGAGGATGCTTCCATACTTCTTTGACTAACCAGGGCTTAAGATTTTTAAAGATTATTTTCCTGTAAGTTTTATCTTCTATTGTGGCCCCTCCCTACCCCCAAGGTCACTGATTAATTTGAACAATCTTGAATCTACAGTACCTGAGGATGCTTTAGTATTAATATCACTAATCATGCCTTTGCTGTTCTTGAGAAAACACGCTTCTATATCAATATAAATCACCTCGGGGGGTCATGATTTGAACAAACTTGAATCTACACTACCTGAGATACTTCTATATCAATATAAGTCATCATGACTTTCCTGTTCTTGAGAAGGAGATTTTTAAAGATATTGCCATGTAAAACTTTGATCACTCATTGCAACCCAACCCTACCTCCAGGGGTCATGATTTGAACAAAATTGAACAAAATTTAATCTTCACTACCTGAGGATACTTCCATATAAATTTGACTAATCACAGCTTTGCTGTCCTTAAGATTTTAAAAGATTATGTAACCAGAAGTCTCTGATGAGACTGTAGCTCTACTGGTCTGTTTGTATAACAAAAGAAAAGTAGCACTTGGATTTGAAACATTGCAACATGCAACAATAAATAGAATTATGTATCTTAATGTAGTCTACTTTTGTGACAAGTTATATTGAAATCAAATGAAAACTAGGAGTAGTAGCGTTTTGAAAGTATTTCATGGAAATTTCTATTTCTAGTAACCATGACAACACCATTCACCCAAATAAAAAAAAACAGAAATACATATTATGTATTGTAGTGTATTCTAACTGTGTGCCAAATTAGATTGAAATCAGACCAAAATTGTAGGAGGAGTAACATTTTAAAGGAATTTCACAGAAATTTCTATTTTATGTAACCATGGCAACACTGTTCATCGAATTCAAAAACCAATGCAATAAATTATGTATCTTAGTATAGTCTTCTTGTATGCCTAATTATATTAGAAGCAGACTAAAACTGTAGCAGGAGTAGCGTTTTAAAGGAATTTCACAGAAATTTCTATTTTTAGTAACCATGGCAACACCGTCCATCGAAATCAAAAACCGATGCACTAAATTATGTATCTTAGTGTAGTCTACTTGTGTGCCAAGTTATATTGAAATCAGACCAAAACTGTAGGAGGAGTAGCGTTTTAAAGGAATTTCACAGAAATTTCTATTTTTAGTAACCATGGCAACACCGTCCATCGAAATCAAAAACCATTGCACTAAATTATGTATCTTAGTGTAGTCTACTTGTGTGCCAAGTTATATTGAAATCGGACCAAAACTGTAGGAGGAGTAGCGTTTTAAAGGAATTTCACAGAAATTTCTATTTTTAGTAACCATGGCAACACCGTCCATCGAAATCAAAAACCGATGCACTAAATTATGTATCTTAGTGTAGTCTACTTGTGTGCCAAGTTATATTGAAATCGGACCAAAACTGTAGGAGGAGTAGCGTTTTAAAGGAATTTCACAGAAATTTCTATTTTTAGTAACCATGGCAACACCGTCCATCGAAATCAAAAACCGATGCACTAAATTATGTATCTTAGTGTAGTCTACTTGTGTGCCAAGTTATATTGAAATCGGACCAAAACTGTAGGAGGAGTAGCGTTTTAAAGGAATTTCACAGAAATTTCTATTTTTAGTAACCATGGCAACACCGTCCATCGAAATCAAAAACCGATGCACTAAATTATGTATCTTAGTGTAGTCTACTTGTGTGCCAAGTTATATTGAAATCGGACCAAAACTGTAGGAGGAGTAGCGTTTTAAAGGAATTTCACAGAAATTTCTATTTTTAGTAACCATGGCAACACCGTCCATCGAAATCAAAAACCGATGCACTAAATTATGTATCTTAGTGTAGTCTACTTGTGTGCCAAGTTATATTGAAATCGGACCAAAACTGTAGGAGGAGTAGCGTTTTGAAAAATTGTTTACAGACAGACGGACAGACAGACAGACAGACAGACAGACAGACAGACGGACGGACGACGGACACCTTACTATCGCATAAGCTCTTCTGGTCTCTGACCAGTAGAGCTAAAAATTTGATCGCTCATTGTGGCCCCACCCTACCCCTGGGGGTCATGATCTGAACAAACTTGAATCTACACTATCTGAGGATGCTTCCACCTAAGTTTCATCTTTGCTGGCCCAGTGGTTCTTAAAAAGCAGATTTATAAAAGATGCCAAAATTTTCTTCACTAATTTGTAATTATCTCTCCTTGGAAGAAGACACGGCCTTTAATTCATTTGAACAAATTTGAATCCCCTTTACTCGAGTATACTTTGTGGCAAGTTTGGTTGAAATTGGCACAGTGGTTCTGGAGAATAAGATAAAATTGTAAAAAGTTTACGAAGATGATGACTATGACAACAACAGACAATTGAAATGTTACATTTGCCTATAATGACAGTTATTAAAGTTTTTTGAAAATTTCCTGACACAGGATCTGTTGAAAACAAACCCAGAAGCAGCTGACCTCCAAAACTTGGGAGATAATGACTTATCAAAAGTTAGAGAGGATTGTGAAAACAAAACATAGATGTTCACTTTCTGATATAATGGCAAAATTTAATGAGGAAAGACCAGAGCCAGTAAGAAAAAGAACAATACCACAAAATTTGCTCGAACATAATTATAGGACTAGTGTTGCCAAGAAGAAACTGGTTATACAAAAAATAAATTGTAAGAAATGGCTTG